CCCGCCGGCGACATATACGGGAACCATTGGATTAGAGTGTGGAGAAAAACGACACGTTACGTTACGGCACTGCGCGGAAGTTTCTTGAAAGAGAGAAGGAAAAGAACACACGAAATTGGGCAAGAATAGCTTTTTTGAAAACCCCTTTCCAGATCCACGTAAACCTCTCTTTTGCCACGTTGGAAGATATCTAGTGCCAAATAATCAGCCATTTAACACCGTTAGTGTGTATTTAACGGAGATGACTACATTGACACACATTTTTTCAATGTTTGGATTCAATTGACACTTTTACACCACGTGAGGACGAAAATGAAACTTTTTTAAAAATGAGGATGAATTTGACACAATTCAACCAAACTGGGGACAAAGGAAGCAATTAAACCTATATATATATATATTATTTTCTTTCTTATCACATCTTTTAGATACTTTTTTTTATCACAAATTTTATTTATTACAATTTTTTTTTAAAAGTTATGTTCAAATTATGTATTATTAATTTAAGCTATAATTTTAAGTATTTAATTATGTAAAATATTTTCTTCTTTATTCTCTTTTATACATAATTTTTGTTTCATTTAAAAAATAATTACTTAATATTTAAACAATAAAAAAATAAATATAGAATATATCCGATCCGATAAGAATAAAATAAAAATCATTACACATGAGGAGGACAATAATGAAACTGGTATTGGACCTTCTCGTCCCTGATCAGAACACCTTGTGAAGCAAGGTTGAATTCGGGAACATGGTAATCAAAAACAGAAAAAAGAAAACCAGAAACAAAGAATTGGAATTGTTTCCCTGGAAGCACCAAAAAGAAAAGAAACAGAAGTGCCTTCAAACTGAGAAGAAGTAAATGTCATTGGTTTCTTCATCCCTTGTCAGCTTCCGAAGACCACTTTACCTATGGAACTTGATGATTCGAAACTCCACCAATAATGGCTTCTTCATACAAACTTTAAACATATACTCTTCCATGGCACACTCTGGTGTCCATGGCAACAACCTCACCTACCCTTTGCTCCTCAAGGCTTGTGCTAACCTCGCTTCCATTCAACATGGCACTGTGCTTCATGGCCATGTCCTCAAACTTGGGTTTCAAGCAGACGCCTTCGTTCAAACTTCTCTTGTTGATATGTATTCTAAATCCTCCCATGTTGAATCTGCACGCCTTGTGTTTGATGAAATGCCGCATAGAACTGTTGTCTCCTGGAATACCATGGTTTCGGCTTATTCTCGTGTGTCTTCAATGGACCAGGCATTGAGCCTCTTGAAAGAAATGTGGGTTCTTGGTTTTAAGCCAACTGCTTCAACGTTCGTTTCAATTTTGTCCGGTTATTCAAACTTGGATACTTTCAAGTTTCGTTTGCAGGGTGTGTCGATACACAATTGCTTGATTAAACTTGGGATTGTGCATATGGAGGTCTCTCTCGCCAACTCACTAATGGCTATGTATGCCCAGTTTTGTAGAATGGATGAAGCAAGGAAAGTTTTTGACTTGATGGATGAGAAGTCTATAATTTCTTGGACAACTATGATAGGGGGTTATGTGAAAATTGGGCATGCTGCTGAAGCATTTGGTTTATTTAAGCAAATGCTACGGCAAAGTGTTGGCATAGACTTTGTTGTGTTTTTAAATCTGATTTCTGGTTGCATACAAGTAGGAGAGCTTTTGTTAGCTTCATCTGTTCACTCTCTTGTACTTAAATGCGGGTGTGATGAAGCGGATTCCGTTGAAAATTTGCTTATTACCATGTATTCAAAATGTGGTAACCTTACCTTTGCTAGAAGGATATTTGATCTGATCATTGAAAAGAGCATGTTATCGTGGACATCAATGATTGCAGGATATGTCCATTCAGGGCTTCCAGTGGAAGCACTGGATCTGTTTAGAAGGATGGTAAAGACAGATACTAGACCAAATGGGGCAACACTTGCGACTGTTTTATCAGCTTGTGCTGATTTGGGATCACTGAGCATGGGACAAGAGATTGAAGAGTATGTTTTTCTACACGGGTGGGAATCAGAGCAACAAGTCCAAACGTCTCTCATACACATGTACTCCAAGTGTGGAAGCATCAAGAAAGCAAGAGAAGTGTTTGAAAAGGTGACGGATAAAGATTTAACTGTTTGGACTTCCATGATAAATAGTTATGCAATCCACGGGATGGGGAATGAGGCTATCACCCTCTTCCACAAAATGACTACTGAAGAAGGGATAATTCCAGATGCCATTGTCTACACTAGTGTTTTGCTGGCCTGTAGCCATTCCGGATTGGTTGAAGATGGGTTGAAGTACTTCAAAAGTATGCAAAAGGACTTTAGAATAGCTCCTACGGTAGAACATTGTACCTGTTTGATAGATCTTCTCGGTCGAGTTGGCCAACTTGACTTAGCTTTAGATGCAATTCAGGGAATGCCACTGGCAGTCCAAGCTCAAGCTTGGGGTTCATTGCTTAGTGCTTGTAGGATTCATGGCAATGTTGAGTTGGGAGAGCTTGCAACTTTTAAGTTATTGGAAACTAGTCCTGGACGCTCTGGAAGTTATGTTTTAATGTCTAACTTGTATACCTCTTTAGGCAAGTGGAAGGAGGCGCACATGATGAGAAATTTGATAGATGGTAAAGGATTAGTAAAAGAATGTGGCTGGAGCCAAGTTGAGGTCTGTGGTAGCCATGATACATTAGCTGCTGGAAATTGATCACATCTTGGCTTATAAAACACTAGAAGATCTAAACTTTGTTCTTCAAGAAGGTGCTATTCAGTAGAAGTAATATCAGAAAATGACCAAGTTTTTACTCATGATTCTGTTACATTCTACTTCACGTGTAGTTCAACTTCTTCACCATAGGATGAAAAATGTAAATTAAAAACACCATGCCTTTACTGTCTTTTCTGCCAGACACTACATTCAGTTACTACACCGGATTAAATACATCATTCTTACAAGAGGAAGATTACTCGATTTAGTCACAACCATCATCTATCCTTTTTGCATATTGCATAATTTCTTTAGTTGATCTTTATTATTCTCAGTAAAAAATATTGCCTTCATTCATGCAAGTCCTCGTTTTGTTTTCTTTTCTTAAAAAGGGATATCATCATTATCATTAAAACATTCGAGAAGTCAGTTAGGATGCAAGACTTGTGCTTACCTTAAACGTGATAATAGCAACTACAAAGATCAAATTTAAAGACAGATGTGTGGAATAATCTCAACTACGTTCCACAATCCACTTCGTAGTTTCAAAATACATGCAGATGGCTAGTTAAGAAAGGCATTAATTGCAAAGTGATGAAAGGAAATATTCCTCAAATGAGAACTATAAATGTATATCTTTTTTTCTGTAACAACATTAATTCGTACACAACAATTAAATGTGTATTCTATCTTAGCCTGTGGCCATTGCAAATTTACAAGTGGATTACGTCAGTGTTGTGGAACTCCCCGTGGAATGCAATAAGAGTATTTTCTGTGATGCGTATATCTAGTTCCATTTGATCTTCTAACCTCTAAAAATATACAACTCATCAATGAAATAATGCCTAGTATCCCACATTCTTATTTATGAATGGCACTAATCTCTGACATGGTAAAAAATCAGTAACAAATATGTAAGCATTCTGACATTTACTTCGTATATATTTCTCATGGTCCTCGCATCTTCTCAACAATGTTCCTACCCTTTTCTTCAATGTTGCGCTTCTTTTCTTCAAATTTCTCACTCATCTTTTTTTTCAAATCAAGAATTTTTTCCCTTCTCCCAATTTTCCTTGGTCTTGAATTATCCCGTTCAATTGAACTATCCTGTTTGTCCATCACCACGTCCCTGCGAGGTGATTCACTAACAGAAGTATCCCCCATTTTCACCAATTCACCAGTTTCATGTGTATTGTCGTTGTGCAATGAAGCCGTTCCAAGTTCTTGTAAATCTCTTGTTTCTTGTGGTTTGCCATACTCTAAAAAGGGTCTTGTCAGTTCTTCCGAACTTTTGCTGCCCCTTAATATTAATGCACAAGAGGAAATAGGTGGAAACGCCAAAGAATCTGATATCCTAGCTGGTTCCTGACTAGATTTGGTACACTTTGGTGGTTTTTGTGGTTTGAGATCTGGACCATCTATTGAGGTCCCTGCGTTAGCTTTCAATCCACCAGAAGGTTGATTATGGGTATCAACCGAGGCTGAAGCCTCGTTTCCAGATTCATGGTGGATCCATATGAACGGAGCAACACTCCTAGGAACCCAATCATCCTTTTCAGCTAGCATCCATGAAATGCAAATGCTTTCACAATTTGGGAGCACTAAAGTATCCCGGATGGCCGCCTGCAGGAGAGAACATAAATTAAGTTTGCAAGTGAAAAATGTTGTAATCCTTTTTAAAAGGATAGACAAAAGAGGGCTTCAGTCCAGAACTACAATAGATTACAACAGAGAACACATTGGTCTAAAGGTGAAGGTGACGGATTTAACTGATCCGAAATTAGTGTAGGCTACACAAAATAATTTATTTACTAAACCTTCTGGATGGTGTTATTTGTTGAGAAACAGAGAGAAAACCAAATGTATCAAGGAACAAATACTCACAAATCCAGATTTCTATAGCCACAAACTCGAGAGAATGGAAGCCACTCACAATAAAAAACATGGGCACTTGAAAAAGCTAAAGGAATTTGCCCTTACATCATTTCCCAAAGAAATTCTCCTCATGGAACATAGTAACCAATACTGGACGTGCCTATGATTTATTTGTACATAGATTTAACAAAAACATAGAAATGAACAACATAAAGCTTGAAAACCACATCATCTGCAGGGAAATAGTAATTGTTCATCAACATCCCGTAATAACTAAAAGGGTAGAGGACTATCATACCTTGAGCCGATTGACCAGAAACAGAGCTATGTGTGAATTCGTTATCTTGTGTTCTCCAACATATGATTCCAAGCTGAAGTCTATATCAGGCATAAATGTGAAACCAAACCACACTTGATCAGAAGGAGGTGGTTTTATCTGCAAACGCAATGTCCCTTTGAGGGATGCTATCCTTACTCCCAAGGTGAGAGGAACCTTTTGATAATGAATAATCCGTTAACTTCAGAATAACACAGCTTAAACTATTTGTAACTGTATGGATAGATAAAATAGCATAACATCTGCGCATTATTATAAAATATAAATTAGTATAACATCTATGCATTATGAAATACTGATATGTGTCTCGATGTGCATCTAATTGACTTGAAAATGCTCCAAGACATGATTCACATTATACTTCTTCTGATAGCTTATTGTTAGAGATGGCAAAAAGAAATCTCCAATTTTACCTAAAGGCTTAGATTTTTGGCACAATGATTTTAGCACATCCTTTCAAAAAAAAATTGGATTTTTATTGCAAGGTAGGTAAGGAAGCCAGTGCGTTGTCCTTCAGGACTGCAAGGTCTTGTGTGAAGGGATATTAGGGTTGTAAAATAAAAATCATTTATGTATCTTTTCCTGAAAGCAGTAGCTTTCAGCAGAATTGAATTAAATTTATAATTGTGGAAATTAAATATGTGACTTGACTCTAGTTAAACCCAAATGAATATTGCTTATTGGGCTCCCTTTCTTCCAGTTTAGAGACTCACTTGATTTTCATAACACCAACTTACACAGTTATGAACTAATGCTAACATGCTATTTTCATGACATTTCACCATATAATAAATTTTCTATGCATGACAAAAAAGAGAGTACCTTCGATAAGAACCCATGCAGTCCTAATTTCTACAGTCATAATTTGCAGAGATATGCTATTGTGAATAAGCCAAGGTAAGAAAAGTAGAGCAAAGTATAATCCTCCAAAAGGGTTTCACAAAGCATATGCAGACATCACATCTAGTTTCATATCATACAAAGATCTCCTTTGAAATTAACTTTTTCATTGAAAAAAAAAACATGTGATATCATGTTTCTCGAAAAAGTTTACAAACAGGATATATTTATCAGACAGAATTATAATAGGTAAGGCCGGTGTAATAACATGAAACTGGATTTGAGCATGGGTTTGGAAAACCGCAACAGGAGGTTACTGTAACGTGCCTAAAAATCAAAGTTATTTCTCAGCAACAGAATAGAATTAAACAACAAGACTGTGCAATAAATAAACATGACAAGAGAAACTAAACAAGAATTTAGCTAAATATCATTAAACTACAAAGCAAGTATATATATCTTTAGCCCTGAAGAAAACAAATCATAACACACAGAACCACGCTTAATACCTCATACAAGTACAGCCACACTAAACAATAATATAGCAGACTCCTAATAGTGAAAGAACAGCTGAAAAATTGAAGTGGGAATAAATAACAAAGTGCTACCTGTGAAACATGCTTGGCAACAGAATGTAACATAGACTTCCATCTTGATCCTTGAGACGAGGAAGATGTACTGTGCTTAGAGCTCTTAGACCCATCTGAAAAACACAGACTGGAATTCTCAATATGAATGCTTTTGCTGAAAATCCGACTTTGATTAGTGATATCACCAAAATAATACATAGAAGTGGAAGGTAACCCTCCCCTCATGAACTAGCTTTCGCGGTTTAGTTATATAACAATATCTAACAATATCTAGATACAAGAAACATTTTAACATCGTCCAACCAACACACACAAATCAACTTTGAAAACTCATCATCTCTAGGAGAAAAGGACTAGAAAGGGCTGAAAGGATATTCTAGAGAAAAACACAAAAAACATTAAAATGACCACTGTTTCATTACTCCTAAAAATATAAAAAAAAAAAAGATTTAGTACTGTAAGAAGACACCATAGTCCATGGGTACGATGTAGAGATACTATTGGAATTTGGAAGGCATCTTCTGTCAACCTAGTATATCAAGATCCAAATTAAAGTAGATCACATATGCATGGTTATCGTAGAAAGTGATGAAACCTTACATGAAAAACCGATATCCTATGAAGCAATCAAACAAAATTAAGAGTATATTCTCCTTCGATGATGATATAGAAACAGTAGTCCAATAGCAGCCAAAAGAAGTTTCAGTATACGATATGTCCAAAATATTCAAAGACTCAATCTTTAAAAGCCTAATTATTAGAATGAGACCAATGAATGGTTTTAGTATTCAAATGTGCCAACTGGACAAAAGCCGTTTGAACTTGAGATGTGGACAATGCACAGACAATCACTTTATCTTGTGAAGAAATAAAATTTAATATGATGAAATTGGAAAGAAAGGATTGAACTCCAGATCAGTTGATTATAAAGGATTTAATACCATGTCAAAGATACACTATTTCAAAAGCTGAAAATGTTTCACAGAGGCCCAAAAATGGTTTTATATCTTGAACAAAAGCTACTACCATGGTCCTCATTAATTCCATTTTTATGTGGAAAAGAAATCCAGTATAATTTCAACAAAGCACCATGTAGAGAAATTGCATAAATAGTTGGATTTGTCAGCACAACGTACTAACCAATTATCCACTCACCATCTTCTTTTGGCTCTTGTAAATCATTCATTCCTTCTTCAAGATTCAATTGCTCACCCAAATATTCAAATCCTTCAAAAATATCCGATGGGACAGCCTCATCATTACTTGATTCTGGATTTGAGTCCTTTGTTTCCCTTTCGAGCTCTAGTTCTCCTACTTCAAGCCTTGTTTCAATCTCTAACAATGCACCACCAGAATATTCAATGTCAACCTCTAAGGCACACGCCTCACTCATTTCCATTGGAAGAACCCTCATTCGAATTATACAGGGTGGAACGTTTCCCAAGTTGATTTCTGTACAGATTACTTCCCCTACATAACTGGGAGTTCTCATGTTTCCCAATGTCCTCTGTAAAAATAATATAGAAAAGAGCAACAATTATCTTACAAAACCAAAACAAAATGACGTTTCTGTAGGATGTTCTGAAATAAATCGTGCATGTGTGTGTGTGTATAGAAAAGTGAGAAGGGATTAATTCTCTTTTAATCTAATGAGTCTAAAGAGTAACACACCTTTAACAATTAGATTAAAAGAAAA